AGATTTCAATTGCCCTCTCTCAAACATTAATATAACAAGTAGAGAGAAGATCCATAACAACATAAAAAAATCAAAAAACACTATTAGCTAACCGAACCACGCTGACAATATAGATCACTCCAACCAACAGCAGCAGAATACACATTCTTACCAAGTGAAAATGAAGCATTTATGAAAACACACCAAACTGTGGGCCAGATAACAAGTACACATAAACTTAAAGAAATGAAATCATAAAAAAATATTCTCAGATCAAAATGTAATTAAATTATAAATAAAAAATGTAAACATCTCTAGAAAAACGACAAAACTTTAGAAAACTAACTCACACACTTTTAAATAACCTACAGATCAAATTAAAAAACAAAAGGGACACTAGAAAGTATTTTGAACTGAATGAGAATGAAGACAGTGTATGAAAAATTGGGGAACGTTGCCAAAACAGTGCTTAGGGAAACTGAGAGCACAAAATGACTATATTACAAAACAGACAATTCTCAAATCAATGACTTTAGCTTCCACATCAAGGACATTTAAAAAATGTTTTAAATGGTGCAAACTAAGCCTAAAACAAGCAGAAAGAAAGAAATAACAAAGATTAGAGCATAAGTCAATTAAATAGAAAGAAAAACAGAAGTAAAGCCAAAAGCTGATCTTTGAGAAGATTAATAAAATTGATACACTTCTAGCCAGAATGATTAGGAAAAAAAAGAAGAGACATAAAATATCAATATCACCAATACCAAGAATGAGAAAGAAAATGTCACCACAGATTCTATAAATTAAAAAGGTGAATAAGGAAAATTATTAACAATTTAATACCAATAAATTCACCAACTTAGATGAAATAGACATTTCCTTGAAGGATACAACCTACTAAAATTCAAACAAAAAGAAACAGATAAACTAAATAGTCTATATCAATCAAAAAAAATGAGCTTATAGTTTTAAAATCTTTGCAAAAAAAAGTAAAAAAATAGAAACAAGCAGACTCAGATGGCTTAAGTAAATTCAACATATATTTAAGAACCATTAGCAACTGAACACAAATCTTTCTTAAAAAGTTAGAGGAGGTAACCATTCACAGAATAGAATTACCTTTATATTAAAATAAGACAAAAATACAAGAAACAAAGATATAGATAAAAAATTATTTAAAAAAAACTTAACCAACCATATCCAACAATATAAAAAATGATAATTCATCATAACAAAGAGGAGTTTATCCCAGGAATGTGAGATTGATGTAATATTTGAAACACGTGAAAATCAATCAAAGTAACTCATATCAAACAAAAAGAAGAAAAAATATTTATCTCAATAGATACAAAGGAAGCATTTAACAAAATCCAACATCTACTCTAAAGCAGGAAGAGAGGGGCACCTGGGTGGTTCAGTCAGTTAAGCATCCGACTTCAGCTCAGGTCATGATCTCTTGATTTGTGGGTTCGAGTCCTGTGTCAGGCTCTGGGCTGACAGCTCAGAGCCTGGAGCCTGCTTTGGAGTCTGTGTCTCCTTCTTTCTCTGTCCCTCTCCCACTCGCATTCTCTCTCTCTCTTTCTCTCTCTCTCTCTCTCTCCCAAAAACAAACATAAAAAATTTTTTAGAAAGAAAGAAAGAAAGAAAGAAAGAAAGAAAGAAAGAAAGAAAGA